TCGTCACACCGGAATCATGCAACGGTATAACCAAGCGCTTTCTATGTACGAAAAGATGAAATCGAACCCTGAAAATTTTTGTTCGATGCACGTCTTATTATTGGGAAACGGAAACGAGAAGGTGAGGCTAACTGTTATGACATTTTTGGCAACACAGATCTTCAAAACCGACGAAATTTACAAAAAATTGACACCCCAATACCGAAAACAGTTTAACACGTCTGCGCTTCAACGAATGAAACTGGAAACAGACACATCGGTGTTAAACCAATACGTTAACCTATTTGAAATGGTCTACTCATTTATTGTGACATCCGGAGAACTTTTTCCTGAATTTTTACCAGCCATTTTCGAAATGATTCACACAGGTGACAGACCACATAAACACTACGCACAAGCTTTGCTCACCAAAATTATTGTCTCATTTCCAGAAAATGATATGAGAAATAAGCTCCAAACCATAATTATACTTATCAAAGAAGGGTTGCAAGATCAAGACGGTGATGTTATTACAGAGTCGATGTCACTCATCAAAGAATTGATACAATACGCTATGAATGTTCCTGAGTTGTTTGGTGTGGTCATACCACTTTACCCAATTTTACATGACGTGACAATTCGAATGGTTAACAATAAGGAGTATGACGCTTATTACGTTTATGTGTTTGAAATTGAGCAACAAATATTCCAAGTGTATATAGAACAACTGGTTAATTACATCCCAACAACTGTCTTATTTGCACTAAATGTGTGCAACGCACCAACTGACGATTATTATGATGATCAACTCCATACTATTGCGATGGAATTGATTGTGACAATATTTGAAATCTACCCAAAGGAGATTAAAAAACTTCAAGAACTGCAAACCAATTTGTATGTCACTCTCATCAATTGGTTAGGCGATGTTGATGACCTTAAAGAATGGTACGACTATCAAGAAGATGAAGAGGACACACCACTCTTTTATCAAGCACAGGAAGCAATTGAACGGATCACAACAATGATTGGGGCAACACAATTTGTCAATTTTTTGATTCAACATATCGAATTGCTCACCTCAACAAAATGGGAAATGAGACTTGCTTTTATCACGGCAATGAACTCTGTGCTGTCTTCGAAAAAAAAATCTGTTGGGAAGGTTGTTGTGCAAATATTTGATGCCATCACACCGTTATACAAAGACCCACACCCAAGAGTCCGTCACGCTGCAATTGTATTTGCCCTTAAAGTGTTTAAGTTGTATCCAAAAACACAAACTATTTTATCTGGAAAAATCATGCAAATCATTGGACTTGGACTGGAGGATAAATGCTCACGAAATGTGTCAAAAACATGTGAACTATCATCGTGTTTTATACCAACATTGACTCTTGAAGAGTTGGAACCTTATATTAGTATTTTTTTCAGAGTGTTCACTCCTCTTATAACTACGACTGATTCTTCGTTGAGCGCAGAAGCACTGTGTTCGTTATCGAATGTTATATCCAAATTAAAGAAGGGAAGTAACACGTATTTTGTGGAGATTCTTCCAATGTTAGAAAAAGTGATTAATGAATTAAGTGATGATGAGGATTTGTATGATGTGAAAGGCCGTACCATCGAAATGGTTTCATTCATAGTAACAAAAACACAAGGGGATTTATTGAAAAAGGCGTTTGAAATTACTATGAAAGGAATCAATAGTGTATTGGCAATGAAAGACCTTGAACCGGATAATTTGCTTTATGGGTATGTCGAATCTGTATTTTCACGACTGGCTGAAGTGACAAAAGAGAACATTTTACCGTATGTTCCTATGGTTTTGCCTAAAATATTAGAGAGAGTCAACATGAACATTGTTTCGAATTACCAATACTTTGAAACAACAACAGTACAATTTGGTGATGAAATTATGAATGTTTACATCGAGGCTGCCGAAGAGAAGGTGAATGCTATGAAAGCATTAGCAGACATTGCAGTCGATTTAAAGGGGTTTTTTGTCCCCTATGTACCAAAATGTTTTCAGATTGTCATCCCACTTATTGGGTATAAGGCCAGCTTTAAGGTACGAAATATGGCAGTGAGGTGCAGTGTAAATTTGTTGATATCATACATCAACGGGAAGGAAAAGGAATTTGGAAATACGCAAAATGCCATGGTTGCTGCAACTGTATACAGTTCACAAGTCATCGAAGCAATTGTAAACAACTTGAAATTTGAACCAGAAATTGGTGTTGTGACAGAACAATTAAATGGTCTACAAAGGGTTATTGAACTTAATATGACGCCGATTGGAATTAACCAGGCCGTTATTATACTTGGGTTATTAAAAGAACTCTTTGTGAAGTACATCCAGCGTTCCGAGCTTATCGAAAACCAAGACGAAGACGTCGAAAACGAAGAGCAGTTTGACCCCGACAACAACTTTAATTACAGCTATAGGTCATTGTTAAAATGCTTGTCCTACAGTATGGGTGAGGCGTTCATCCCGAGTTTCGAGGGAATTTTATTGCCAATGTTACAAGCAGTATTAACAACAAATGGGGTGTCAACAAGGATTATCGGAACAGTCGCACTTGTCTTGTCAACTGTAGCAATGATATCTGAACGAGTTCAATATGTGAACGTTTCGGTCCCTATTGTCGTCCAATTGGCGAATTCGAAAAATCAAGACAACTTGTTCCAAGCTATTGAGTGTATTCAACTGTTGTCGCAAATTCAAATAATTCAACCATTCTTACCTCAAATGATAGAAATCATCAACTACTGCATGTCTTTAAAAGCTACTAACGAAAACTTATATGAAGCAGGGGTAATGGTTTTGGGTAAATGTATATCATTCAACCCACAATATTTTAAACCAGAAACTGCATTACTGTGGTTCTCGTTATTACCCATTCCTACATACCCAGATGATATACTTCAGTCGTTGTTTACACTCTTCGCACTGTTTGTTTCCTTCTTTTATTTTGAGAATATTTATAGTCCAAATATATATATATATATAAATAATTAATAACTGTATTAAAACATACACCGACAAGCAGCAATAAGTTCCCAATTACACATGAAATTTTGGAAAAAGCATTGATCGTGCTATTGAATTGTTTAGGGTCAAAAGACTCATATATGATCACTTCGCAAACAAAAGACATGGTTACAGAGCGGTTGAAACAATGGTACGAAACAAATGACAATATAATCGGGCCTATATTGGACAGCGCAAGTCCAACACAAAAAGAACTTCTCAAAGAACTCCTTTAACTTTTTATTTTTGGTATTGAGTTGCTTTTCAATAGTTAAATAAATTTTAAAAAATAAAAATTAAATGTTAACACAGTGAAGCTCATTTTGATCGTTCAATTTCAAAAGGTGTCTCAGTGCAAATTGTGTCATTCACCCCTTCGCATGGAATTTGCCTGTGCCAAAGAACTTTACAGGACACTTTGGTGGTTGGTTGTAATGAACAACAGAACTCACATGGGAATTCTGGACGAAGAAGAGTTGGGTTGACTACCATTGTAAGTTGATATGGGGCAAGGACTTGGTCGATTACTAATGTTGTTCCTGAAGTATTTTTCAATGAAAAATAAAGAAGAGAAAATGACTGTATTGAGTCAGACCCATTGATGAATTGATTTGAAACAGAAAATGGTTGAGAAACTTCAACATCAAATGACTTTGTTATACAATTTAATCCCGAAATTCCTAAATACTTCATAAAGACTTGAAAAGGTGTTCTGCCTCCTTTTTTAAACTGGAAGTAAATAACGGTGTTCAACGACTGTTGAACTGATATTGTACCCAAAACTATTTGGGATGAAGATAACTCCGTCTTAATATCTTTTGTCATTAAAATGTCATTTGAATTTGTCGAAAATGTAATGTTGTTAAGATTAAAATGCTCGGCGTTGAATATATCAATGGTGAACGGAGTTAATTCACCCAAAATCAAGTGTTTTGGAAAATTGATAATCAGTTCAACTGCTGGCTTTCGTTGAAACACGGTGGTCTGAGTTTTGTGCTTCAGCTCGGGAATTATTCTGTTGCATATTTGAAAATTGGACAAAACCTTTTTGCTAAGTACCAAATCTTTTTTGGTTATTAATATTTCAACACCTTTTTTCTCTGAAGAAAAGAGTTTAAGACTGACAACTTCTAAGAGACCAATTTGTCGAGCCACAAATGGTATTTTCAGTTTTAAATTTCCATATAATTCAGAAGGAAGTTTTGTCGTTGAATTTGGAAGAGTCAACAAAAACTCTGTCTGATTAAATTCGATAATTATTTTTTCAAGTGGGAATGATGGTAATTTGCTTGTTAGATCAATATTTAAATCAATAGACTCACCTAACACAACCGATTTTTCTGAAAATGTTATTTCACAAAAAATAAGAGGTGTTTGTAAATAAAACAAATCGAGTGGGAGTGAAGATTCTTTTATAGCACCTAAAATTTCTTTTAAAAAATTTGGAAATTTCGTAACAAGTGGTGAAAGAGATGTGTCAACACAAACAGTTTTTTCTTGTATTTTCCAGTTGTCGAAAACGGAAAAACAGGAAAGCATAAAAGGCTTTAAAAGTGTCGGAGAAAGTGAAAAGGTTCGTATTATATTATTGTATTCCCACCATTGCTTTGTCTTTGTTTTTGTTGGTTTGTTCATTAACAACACGGCTTGACATTCCAATACTTCCTTAGTAATTTTACTATACTTAGTATAATCCTTTTGGTCACTTTTGATTACAAACATAACGACAAACTTGGATTTTGAATAAAAGATTAAACGATTGTTTGATGGCGTATTCATAAAACTTTTCTGGAGTGTATGAAGGCGGCAAATACTTTGTAAATTCTTTAACGGAATTTCCGTTAAACATGGTAGATATTAAATTGTATGCCTTTGTGTAATTTACAAGCGAGGCGTAGGAATAAAATAGGGATAATGTTTTGGTGAGTTTGTGCTTCTCGTAAATAACTCCGATCAATTGAAACTGTCTAGCTAACCACTTTTGATGAGCACATTGCAACTCTTCGACACCAACATATGTTGAACAAGACTTCTCAAACAATATAAAAAATTCACTGATTTCCTTAAATGCTGCTGTTTTCTCTAATAAGTTAAAAAGTCGAAACATAATCCAACTTATTAACTCTTTTGTTGCCAACACATTTGAAGATTTGTAAAATCGTTGTTCTTCAGATCTAAGTAACTCCAAAACTGATGTGTAAGACTTCATGTAATACTTTATTGAATTTTTGTAGTTTTGAAATGAAGCCTCTTGATTCTCTGAAACAAATGCTGCTTTAAAGTATGAAACCGCAGAGTACCACGGAAATTTCATTGACTCTGCACGAGTGAAATAGTTGTACTCCATATCACTATAATGTCGCAACGATAATTGTTTGACAGTTTTAGTGAGAACTTCTATTGATTGCTTTGGGTCGTTCAGGTTGAACAACAAAAACCCATCGACGTTCATTCGCTTTTTAAGCGACACAAATTCATCTGTTGATGATAGGATTTGAGGGGAGCAGGTGATTATTTCCAAAACCAATTTTGTGTGTCGTGAGCTTAGTATATCGTGAATGGTATCGATCTCTTGAAGTATGTTATTGTAGGGGGAAAAGACCGTTTCTTGAGTTTCAAACAAAACCATTACACTTGGGCGGTCTTGTCGTACTTTGTTCAACCACTCCACCTTTGATTTAGTCAATTTGAATAATGTTACAATGAAGATAAGCATAACAAACTCGGATGAAATATTCATCTGGTTGAAGAAATTCATAAATGGGAGGGTGGGGTGGCTTTTTTTTGAGGGGAAGATACTCTTTTGACGCTGTAAACGTCACAATTTTTCTACCTTCGATGGAGTCGTCGAACAAATTAGTTTTGATATTTTGTGGGATGTTATCACCTCCAAGAAGCCCAACTATTAAAAATGGTTCTCTGTAAAGCTCTGGTGGATACTCAGAGATTAGACATTTTTCTTCATCTGGGACAAAAGTGTAATCCATTCAAGTTAATGACTGATCTTTAAAATATTTTATTTTTATATTCCGAACTATAAATAATCAAAAAAGGTAAAATAAATAAAAAGAGTTATAAAATTATTATAACATCTAGTAAAAAGAAAATGAAAGGTAGTGAAACTGTAAAAACAGAGAAAGATGGCTAAAGTGGTGGAAATAGCGCCGTCTAGCATTGTCTGTCCTGTTATTGTTTGTTTCAATAAGAAATAAAATTAAAGTCACAAAAAGGAGGACGTTCAGAAATACGTTGCTGAGAAAGGAGGAGTTGGACCAGCGGTTCAGTCGGTCGAGGATACTTATAAAAATTTGAAGTTCTTTTTGGACGTTGTTTCCCAAAGAAAATTAACTCTAACTTCAAAGATAGAAGAAATCCAGTCGACTCTTAATTATGTCAAATTGCTCCAGTCAAAAACAAACGAGGAGGTGAAGACAAAATTTGAAATTGCAAATGGGTTGTATCTTCCTGTCACTATCTCGGAACCCAAAAAGGTTAATTTGTGGATCGGGGTTTGTTTTTTATATTTATTTTGCACCTTAAACAAATCGAGAATAAATAACAAGAAGGCTGGCGTAATGATGGAGTATTCATTTGAAGAGGCAGAGAAGACTTTAACAGACAATACCAACGCAACTACTACTATGATTAAAAAGCTCGACGAAGACTCAAATCACCTCAACGGAGAAATTGCAAAAATGGAGGTTTTGATAAAAAAGATGGTGGATGCTGGGATAGCCCTTCAGCTCAAAAAATAATCGACGTTTCTTGCTTTTATTTGTAGGGTATTAAATAGTTGTTTTTGATGGTTTCTAAAACCACAGTATATATATACTATCTCTAAATAGAATTAAAACTAAAATTTTTATACAATTAGTTTTTTAATACTATCTGTTACCTTTTAGACCATAAAAATAGAATTATTCAGTAAATCATTTCCAAATATCCATCCCATCGTATTGATTTTTTAATTTTTGCCTTGTTATATTAAAATTACAAAAATTTTAGTTTGGTTCTTTAATAAATATAACATAATATTGATACAAGTAAAAAACAAATTAATTAGCTACTAAGTTTTCGTAGTAGAATGGTTTGAATGAAACCGAAGAAATGTAGTCTATGAACTTCTTGTAGTGTTCAGTTTTACAGTGAGCTTCAAAATAGTCTGAATCGACCCATTGTTGGAGAATGACATAATGTGTTGTGTTCAGAGATTCTTGCATGAATGAGTAGCCAAGGCACCCTTCTTCTTTTCGTGTTTGGTTCTGCATTCGCATCATCTTCGACAAAAGCTCTCTGTCTTCGGGCATGTTGATGTGGCATTGAACAATGAATTTCATCCTTATCTGGTGGATAGTTAAGATAATTCTTCGTTTATATAGCTAATAAATTTTTTAACTTTATTTGTTGACTTTAAGAAAAAAGACCAACTTCTTTGCACCAATTAGAACAAAGTATAAATTTAAAGAGCAAGTATTGAGGTACAAATCTTTTTTTTTTCGAACGAAAGTTTGGTTTATTTCAACTGAAATTCAATTGTTTTTTAAAGAAGAAGCTTCTTTTTAATTATATTTTTCAGTAAACTAAAGGGGTGGAAAAAAACCGCTTCAGAAAAAAAACCGCTTTTGATAATTTAATGGTTAAATGATAATATGATTATAGTTTTTTGTATAGTTTATTTTTTTTATTTTCTTCGATTTGATTCAAAAAACAAGATTTACAAGAGTCTCTCTGACTTTTTCAAGATGCCGATGTTTGTTATTGAAATTTGTGAATTATTTTTTATGTAAAGTAAAGGCTGAATTTGCCGAATGATAAAAGGAGGAGCAAGAAAGATTGACTTCGAAACTGTTCGTTGAAGCCAAAATAACCAAAAAACAACTCAGAATTTATCAAAAATAATGAACTTTTTATTAAATATTTTTTCAATTTTTTGCAGAAATAAAAAAACTCAAAAACACTAACCCGCGAGTGTACCTTTTTTTCACACCCCCTTTCACTTCTTAATAATTTTTTCTCATTTTTTTAATCATCCATTAAACAAATACTCAACAGTCAAATCTATTACCTCTCGAGCAACATAGTAAATGTATAACCTAGCACATGTTTTAAATAGACCACTTTTCAATGTCTCTCAGCAAATACCGACTGCACCTTTATTTCACACCCCCTCATGTTGGATTCCTCATTCGCTCAGAAATGCATTTCACTGCCAAACTGAAAAAAGCACTTTGGACATACTCACCAACTGAACGTGAGTGCATCCATTCCCAGCAGTTTTTCAAGTGCCTGTCAAGCAAGCGATAAATGACTCGTTATTTCGTTGTACTTGCTTTTTTGAAACTTTTTATAAAATAAACGAAGCAATTTATTAATATTGGTCAATAAAAACAATGTAAGACGGATAATTTTGTGTAAATTATTAGAAGCGGTAAAGGGGCGCTGCACATGTCCGTTATAATTTCTCGTGTTTTTTTGCTTTTTTCCACCAAAACCTCAATTATTTGAGGCAAATTGAAACTTTGGTTATAATTGTGTGTAATTTTATCAGGAAATGGTAGTAAAGCGGGTTTTCCCGCAGTGCAGAAAAACGATAAAAAAGACTGGGAGGATACTGTGGACGATCCGAAAGTGCGGCAATCATTTCTGTATGGTGAATAAATTCAAGTTTATTGTGTGTTTTATTTGTTATTCAATGCATTTGGTTAAAAAATATTTGTATGCAGAAAAAAACACACTATTTTTCACAATTTAAAAAGGCAATATTTGGTTATTGGATAAGTTTTCATCATAAAACAATAAGAATTTGGTTTAGAAAAGACAAAAAAGACCTAAAGCGGGTTTTCACCACCGTATTATTTTTTATTTTAAAAATCGGCAAAATGCCAATAATGTTATTTTTATATACAATAAAACAAGTAAATGGTAGTGAAGCGGTTTTCCCGCCAGCCAAAATTCTTGCTCAAAAGTGCATTTCAATAAAAATTGTTGAAAATATCATGGAGACAATGACTGTTATCAGCCCAATACGTTATTAAGAAGACATGGTGTCAAAGTGAAAGTTGATGTGTTGTTTATCTTAAATGTGTTTTTAAACCTTTATTCACTAATTATAAAGAAATGATTATCAACAACTTTCTTACTATTTGATTGACTATATTGTTCATTCTATTACAGTAAATATATGTAACATTTTGGGATTTAAGCAGATACTTTTATAAAGAAGAACAAAATAACTATAAACATTTATAAATTTAATATAATTTATACTATAACTTGTTTCAAAAATTGATTCGAATGGTGGTCTGAAAAGTAATGAAAACTATTTTACACTTGTATAGTTCAAAAGAGATACACAACGATAACCACGGCTTCGATACTTCATGTCAAATGGATCAATTCATGTTCATTCTGTTCGGATTTGAGCATAAGTAAAATGATAATTATGGTTTTTATAATTATTTAATAGTAAATTTATTAATTTTATTAATAAATTCTAGGTCCAAAAATGGTTAAATTAATATAATAAATAGTTAATTTATTATTTAATACAATTCCATTTTTATCTTTCGCAATGTCATAAATTATAATATAAATCATAGATTGACAATAGATTAAACATTTAAAAACAAAATTATTATCATTTGAAAATATTTAAGCAAAATAATTACATAATGCACTAACTTTACTAATAATCAAAATTTACATAGTTGGTATTGTTTTATCGCAAACATGATCTAAAAAAATGTAAGTTCTTTTTTTATTAATAATTAGAGTTTATAAGGAGATCTCCAAAAGCGACGACATCAAATTATCTCGTTCATTGCAAGGTCAAACAGTTTGTTTATTATGTTTAACAACATCAAAACCACGACAGTGACAACATAGACTTGAACTCATGTGTTTATGAAGACAAAACAAAGCACAAAAACAACAATAACAAAAAGACTTGATATAAATTACTCTGAAGATAAGGAAGATGATGAGGCAGACTGCAAAGATGATAATTTGGTTTGTTAATTCAAACGATATTAGACTAACAAACACTGCGTTTACTACACTAATATATTATAATAAAATTTAATTAAAAATTTATGTATATTTGGTTATATGTCTTACGATTGTAAGCTGTTTCCCGTTTTCTTTCAAATAAATTCTGTAATAACTCAGCTTTTCACTGTAATATAAATAGACTTTAACAGCCTTCTTCTAAATACTTCGAAAAAATGCTCTGGCAAAATGAAAATGATGTTTTTTTCTTTTTGTTTAAAAAAAAATAAAATCAAATAACATTTAGAAAACATTTTACCATTATTCACCAAAAATTATCAAAAGCGGTTTTTTACCCCTTTACTTTGATTTTTTTTCCATTTACAGTTAACAGAAAAAGTGGGATGCTGAGAAAAAGAAGATGCTCATCTTAATATTAATTAATTTAATATTATTAATAATAAATAATTAATATATTTTTTTTTGGTTTTTTCATTTTATTGATTTTTTGATTAATAATTTATATTAAAATTAATAATAATTTTATTATTTTTCAATTGAAATTAACCAATAGTTACGAGCATCCTTTTTCGAGCATCCCCACATTTCCTCCTACTGTATTACTTGGTACCTTTTGTAAAAATCAAATTATAATACAGTATAGTCCGGGTTTAATTAAATAATCGGGTTTAATTCATTCGAAAATAATTAAACCCGAAGTAAGAAAAAATAATAAAAACAACACTTTTGAATTTTATTATCATAGTCTTGTTTTTTTGTTTAAATTTACGTGAAATAATTGGGTTTTTACCTAAATTAATCAGAATATTTGTTTTTGAATAAAAATGCATTATTTTTGTTTCTGGAACTATTTTTCGGTATAGGGGTGTGATAAACTGGTTGTAAATGATCAATCCCTTGTCGATTTTGGTAGAACTTCCATTCGAACCAAATGTAAAACATAATTCAATTATTTTTTGTTATTTTGTTTGTTTTAAAAACCCTGGTTCACTTTCATTTTTGCACACTTTTTGGAACAGCTTGGAGAATTTAAGACTCGAGTTATTTTTATTTTCATTTTTTACCCAAGCAGACTAAAGACATTTTGGAATGGATTTTCGTTGTTTTTCGTTTAAAAAAATACAAAATGCGAAATTTTTTTATTGTCTCGGAGAGGTGTGACGGGTAAAATAAACAGATTTTTAATAAAATAATAATTTGGAGAGGAGAAAAACGACTCGAGTTTTTTTTGGTAAAATAAAAAATAGTACCCGTTTCTTCGATATTCAAACGTGTTTTATAAAATCATATTGATGACTTGATACACACTTCACGTGGTGTATATTTCTGTAATATAATTTTGTAAAATGAACGTTATAAAAACAAAATGATTATAGTAGAGAGGAGAAAGTTGACTTGGTGTTAAAATAACTTTTGTTCATTTAAAGTAAATTGTGTAATATATAGATAAACA